GATCATGCGTCGATTGACACACCAACCCGGTGTTGATCGATGCACAGCATATGCGTCAATCGACACACAACCCCGGTGTCGATCGATGCACTGCTCGTGTGACGATCAACGCATAGCACTTGCGTCATAGCACTTGCATCGATCGATACAGAGTCTAGGAATCGAACATATCTTCTCATGGATCGATTCCAGAACGAGTCACACCAATCTCCTGCACAAAATTCTCCAATACAAGCACGAAATCCATCCAAATAACACAATCAATCGCATCCTATCATTCACTTTACCAAGATAAGCCATGGTCATGCACTCACCTTGGTTTTGGAAAGAAAAAAGGATGAAACACAGCGAAGAACACGAAGAACGGATCTCCAAAATCTGAAATCCTCTTCTTCCTTCTTGAAGAAACGGATCAGATCTCTAATCCAGAGCCTCATAACACACAATTCGAGCTTTTAGGATCAAGAACAGGAAGAAATCAACAATGATTCTTCTTTTCTCTCAAATCCTCTCTCAAAAATCTCTGGAAACTCTCTGGAACTTTTTGGAACTCCCAAAACACGACAGAAAAACGGCTGGCCCCTTTTTATACCTGAGCCCTAGGGTTTCCCCTAAACCGAGCTGAAATCTGACGCTCAAAAACCGAACATATCGGTTCAATTTAACCTTGCTTCGATCGACGCACACACCTTACGTCGATCGACGCACACACCTTACGTCGATCGACGCACGACCAAAAATCACGAAATTTGGTTCGCAGTCGTTACAAGAATTATATTGCTTCCCTTCGAAAAGTCCCCAAACGTTAACAGAGAAAAGCAAGTCCCCATGTGGAGTTGCTCCTTTGAAGTTAACAGAGGCTTTATAATCCCCGAATCCTTCACAGAGAGGCATAGTTTTGATGATATCTGAAGACCATGAAGAAGAATCATGGTTAAATGTCCACAATGTGGTGATTCCCAGTTTGAATGCTTTGCTTTGGCCAATAGCTAAGCGTCCGTGGACATTTGCGAGAACTGAGCTAGACCAAGCACTCATCATCTCCACAAGGACTTCAATGAGAGTAAATTTCTCAGTTAACAATTCAAATCTTACCACAAGCCTTGTATTTTCATTCTGAGCCACTTCTCTCTTAGCCAAATAGAAGATAACACCGTCAATACAAATGCTCTTTTCGTCTCTCTCCAGTGCTACCTCATTGTCTAGTTGGTAGTTTATTCTTCTCCATGTTGAATCTCCCGATGTGGAGAACATATCTCCTAAAGTAAATATGTGACCAGAAATTCCATTCGTTGTTTTACTCACTTGCAAGACTTTGTATGTGCCATCAAGAAAACCAAAGAAGCAGCTCCGAGTCATGGTCCGCATCAAGAAACGATCAAAATCAGGATTGATGATTTTGATCTCTAACCTTGGGAGTTTCTTGAGTTGACCTGATGCAGGATTGATGATTCTGACGTTATGGTATTGGTCTTTAATGCATACGATCCCTTTTTCACTGGTGAACTGAAGAAAATCCATTGGCATGAAACAGTTAATGGATGATACTAATTATGTAGCAACTTTCTTCTTTTCACCGCTCTCTGTAAGGATCTCTTTACGGCACTCTTTATGTCTCCAAACCTTGAATATTTTCTTGGCCTCGAAGAATAAAACCATCTTTGCTTTTTTAGCCTTTTGCTTTTTCTGGAAAAAGTAAAGAATACTGCCTCGAAGTAACAAGCTTGGTTGTTTCCTTTGAATACCTCCACAACTTCAAAGCTATACCTGCGTTGGTTCTAGCCACAATATCTCCTACTACATCAATAGGTAGCTCTGTTTTCGGTGGTGTCTCCATTATTATTTATTAAAGAATATTAAAGGCACGAAAATCAATCAATCACGATCTAAGCAGAAGAAGAAGACCAATAGAAACAATCTTCACATGTGTTTCCTTTTGATTATATATCATTTTGCACATTAATATAATCATAAGGGTTAGGATGAGAAGACGCTCTTTGATGATTTTGAACAACGAACGAACCCTAAATTTCTTTTTTCCTATATGATTTTAGATTTCCGTTGCATATTATAGACGTTGGGGGCGAGAGGACACGTTGTCTTTAGTCTTGGATAAATTAAATAACCAAACCAAACTTTACCTTTTTTCTATCTTGTGAATCCTGTTTATATATATAGCTGAACCAAACCGTTTCAATTTTCCCACTGGTTTAGTTTGACTTGCG